CTGCTTCTAGCCGGGGGAAGGAAGGAAGGAAAGAAATAACTGCTGGAAAAAAATGGACCAGGTCATCCTTACCCCCACCCCCATTCTCCTTCCCTCCCATGCAGTGCTGAACAGCTGCTCCTTGCCATGTTCTGGTGTGAACCTCTGCAGAAATCTGGGGGGCCTGCCCCCCCATGTTGCCTTGAGCAGAGGGAGCACCAGATACCAACAAAGGGGGTCCAACCCAGGGGCCCAGTCAGGCCTGGAGGGGAGAGAGCACTGTGTAGAAAGGGTTGAGTCAAATCGGTCAGTCACCCACATCCCTGTGTGAGAGACATGAAGAAATGTGACACTGTCACCTATCTCCGTGCAGACCTGAAAGCTACGACAGTAAATGAAAAGACTCTGTCTGTGCAGTATTTCTTTTTAACAGGAGCTCAGTCAACTGGATGCTAATTTTTGCACTGCATAGTTTTCATTGACTGCCATTGAACTTGCTTGAATGCAAGTAATTTTACCAGATGTCCCGTATTCAGCATGGGGAAATATAAGCAAACCAGAGAGACAAGGAGGGTGAAGGGATATTTTTTATTTTGACTACTTTGGGGAGAGAGGCAAACTTTCCATCCAAACAGAGGCCTTGTTTGGGTCTCGGAAAGATACTCACCGCAACACAGCAAAATGCAAGGTAGAACAGAGTGTTTGGTCTAAACCAGGACTGACCAAGTCACTGGAACCGGCCCACAGATGCAGAGGGGAGCTGGGCCGTTTCGCTTTGAAATCTGTGAGCCGGGATGGGAGGACGGAAGGCTTTAGGAGCTGCCCCCACCCCCAGCATAATCCCATTAGCCAATTTTTGGCCAGAAACTGGCCAATGGGAGCTGCCTGTTTCAATAACAGGCAGCCAAGAAGCACCACATCCCTCCCTTCCGGGGCTCGTAGTTATTCACAGAGCACATGGCTGCAGCCTGTGAAGGGATAGGGTAGGAAGGGAGGCTGCTTCAGGAAAGTGCTGGACTGGTAGCTGATAAATCTCCTGGCCAGAGCCTGACTCTGGCACCCGTGCCCCTCCCTCCCTCAACCCTCTGCCCGCCACTCCACATACCTAAATCTTCTGCCCCTCTCCTGCATCCTTATTCCCTCCCAGATCTGGAACCTCAGTGCCCCTACCCCAGAACACGGTCCCCTCATGACCTAGCTCACAACACAAACCCCTGAACCTCAATCCCCTGCACCCCCTCCTGTACCCCAGTTCCCTGCCCTAGGTCACAATCCAACCCTCTGCACCCGAGTCCAGTGCCCCAAGTCACAACTGCCTCCTTCATCCAAACTCCCTCCGTTACCCCAAGCTCCCTTCTGCACCCAACCTCCATCCCAGATCCCGCACCTCCTAGGGTTGCCAGGTGTCCGGTATTGACCCAGACAGTCTGGTATTTTCGCCTCCTGTCCGGTAAAAAAATTCAGAAAACAGTAGACACCTAAAATGTCCAGTATTTTCTGATTTTTTTTTTTGTCCCAGCCAGGAGACGAAAATACCAGTCACCTGGCAACCCTATGAAACACTCAGCAACTGGGCCCAGCCCCCCAGGCCCTTCTCGATCCTCTGCCGGGCTCCCCCTGAACTCCCCCTGGGCCCTCCCTGAACCTCCCGCCAGGCCCCCCCACCCTGTCACTTACTTGGTTCCGCAGGGGAGCTGTCTTGTGGCTGGAGCATAAAAACAAGATGGCCACAGGCAAAAAAGCCTCTTCTTAACTTTGGTCTCCCCCTCTTTTTTTCTCTCAACAGAATTTTTTTCCTGGTAGGTTTTTTTTTTTTTAGGGGGTTGTGTTCGGTATTGTTGGTTAAACCATCTGGCAACTCTAGCTAGCACTTTCTCCATTAGGATGTCATGGAAGAGTGCAGCTCTCAATCTCTTTGCAAATTCTTGGGGTAGCCCCCCATCAAAAATTATTGCCCACCGCTGGTCATAACATTACATATTGTAAGGGACCTTTCAAGGTAGATTGGCCCGTGCATGTCTCTGCAGTCATAGGACAAAAAGAAGAGGCTAGTAGGTTACATACTGTTGTAACAAGCATAAATCCAGTGTCTCTGTTCAGTGGGTGATTTTTAGTATCTAGCAGGATAATTAATCACCCGCTAACACCTTCTTCTTGGCCTTTTTGAAGTACCGAGTCACTTTTTTTTCTCTTTGACATTTTCTTGTGTTGCGGTTTGTTGAGTGAGATGTGAGCCAATATTAAGTAATTCCACTTTTGAGCCTTCTAATGTAATCCTAAAAAAAAAAAACACATTATTAAGTGAAACTGTATGTTTCATTGGATTCGTTTGTAGCCTCTCACCTCTGGAATTGGAGGGTAAATCCATCCCTAGGGTGGTGGTTTATGTGCCGGAGCTTGTGATGGAGGGGATGATAAAGATCATGAACCCTTTTGTTGTCTCTAATTCTCTGCTGCTTCCTTAAAGTGAGTCCAAGGGGGTCTGACCAGATTGTGTGCTTTGGCTTTTTTTTTTCCCCACTAAGAATCTCAGAACCTTGTACAAACAATAATGAACAGGCTTCATTACACTCAGGTGATGTAGAGGAGGGAAATGGAGAAATCACTTCACTTGCCTCTCACTTAAGCCTGTTTTAAAACTGGATAAATGAAGCACAGCTATAGGAAATTGAAGCAAACAATGGCTTGTCTAAAGTCACACAGGAAGTTAGCGGCAATGTAAGCTCACAATTCCTTGTTCATATCATTACTTAGTGCCTACAAATAAGCAATTTTTGGTCTATAACCTGCCTGACCTGTGTGCTAGGAAATATACATCCAAGGGGCCATACTTTCATATTAAAGAAAATGGCAGCTGTATAGAATTATGTGGGGTAAGCTTTGGCCACTGGAGATTACAGAGTACAATATCTTGCATCCTGTTTTATGAACACATACAAATGAGAAAATCTTTCTTCCTCCTGAGAGAATTACATTCTATTCAGAGTCCTGTGGTTCATCACGATCACCAGTGTAGTTCTTTGCAGCATATATAAAATATTCACACTATATCTGTATAGATTATATATTTAACTTACTATTGTGTGGCTGACTTTTCTCAAAATGAAACTGTATTCATCTGAGACATCCCTTTAATTAACTTGCACAGTCCCATAGGGAGAGGGATATGGAGGAAGCTAATAATAATAATAATAGTAGCGGTATATCTTATTACCATTACATATTAAAGGAAAATAAAATGCTGCGGGAGGTGGAATCCAAGGCCTTTATTTTTAATAAAGATCTTAATACCATTTAATGTAAATTAAATATAATCACTGTCTGATTTCTGAATGTATCTCTGAAGCTGCAACATAGTAAGTTAATTATGCTGACAACATACTTGTAACTACCAAAGTTGAGCTCTACAGTGTTGTTAAAAATGTGGTTTAAAAGGGGGATGGAGAGCAATTTTTTTTAAGGCAGAATAAGTAAAAGATTGGCATCCAAGTGATAAGTTTCAACAAGGCTTGAATTTATTACGTATTGTATGTAAGGTCAAAAGCAAGGCTTTTACTCAACTTCAGACATTGAAAAGAATTTAATGAATGGAAGTAATGATGCCTTTTACTTTGGGGATAGAGATTGTCCATTTCGAAATGTCCAACTTCTGTAGATAGGGCTTTTTTTTTAAGAAGGTGACTTAGGATCAACACTAGTGCCTTATATATATAAAATTGTATTCAAAAGTAGTTTTTGTTAAAGGCTCTATCATGGAACTCTCAGTCCTGGAAATCATGCGCTTTATAAGATGACTCATTTGAGTATGGACTGCAAGATTGGGCTACAAGGCATTCCTCAAGGCGTGCCTTACCTAATTCATGGTCCATTTTGGTCAATTTCATGGTCGTAGGCTATTAAAAATAATTTAAGATTTCAGGTTGTGATGAATGGGAGGGCTACTACTCTTTTCTGGACATCCCAGGTATTCAGTTAACTAAGTTGCCTGTAACTGTTAAACCCAGAGACAGTGGGCCCTTGAGAGTCTCCAGAAAGTCTTAGAAGGAAGCCAGGAGAGCCAATGGAAAGAGAGTGTTTGCATTGAGGCAGGACCCTCTTGCTGGAGTCTTTCTGAGATCAGAGAAAGAGCTGGGAGAGATGAGTTAAGCCAGGAACATGGCATGGAATTTCCAGAGATATCCGTGCCTAGGGAAGGTGTAAACCTTGGAACAACAGAGATGTGAGTAGAACAGGGACTGTTTAGTTAGACACAATCAGGTTATTTTCTTTGGCAATATGGGAGTCTGGACCCCAGAACGCAAGGTAGCATCTGGGTCCCTGGTTGTGGGGCCAGCAGTAGAGCCCTGGGTGTGCAGGGCAGCAGTTGCGACCTCGTAACATAGGATGGTAGCTGGGTCCCTGGATACGGGGCCAGCAGCAGAGCCAATGGCACAAGGGGAGGCAGCTGGCACCCTAGGTGTGAGGCCAGGAGCTTGGGGGTGATGCAGCACCTCCCACACCCCTAGTTCCCATGCCTACGTGGGGGCAGCTGCAAAGCTGGTGGCTGGAGAGAAGTGACTGTTTCTGCTCCCTCCTGCTCTGGATTCCTTCAGCCCATGCTCACACCACTCACTGCCTCCTGGTGAGTGGGTGCTGGACACAGAACCCATGGGGAGGTGACCTGCCTAAGGTTGGGCATGGGGCTTACCAGAGCTAATGCAACCGGGGGCTGGGGCTGGCTGTAGGAGCAATTGCAGAGCCCACAGGGTGGGAGACGGAGGGATTGGGCTGGCCACAGTCTTCCGGACACACCTGTCACCACCACCTGCACCTCTTGCCTGGTCCACTGAAACTGCAGGTGAGCATTTGTCTGTGTGGCTGTTTGTAAGTCGGACGTTTGTAACTCAGGGAATACCTGAACCTGCTGCCACGTCGTCATTGTTCAGGCTGTGGCCATTCTGGTGCAGCGTGTATGTGAGTGACTGACTCATGCTCAAATTAAATTGTAATTGTAATTGGCATGGTCTCTCTTTTTCTTACAGGCATGCAAGCCAGCAAGAGACCAATAAAACCATTACGACCAGCACCAAAGCTATCAAGCAGCTGTCTGAGATTGTCAGAGGTTCATCTAGGGTATGTGCCTTTTGAGATGCCATTTAGATTGAAAGTTTGGCTTTGGTTGTTAAAGATAAATGTTGGTCTACAAATTGTTGAGGTGGTCTGCAAATGGGTGAGGTGGCAAAAGCAGGGACATATGCATGGTGTGGCGTTCATTGAGTGCAGATATGTGCAATTTCCTTACTGAGAGACAGAGATGGGAAAATCAGAGCATGCTGAAACTCCCTTTATACCAATTGGCCCAGTCGGTAGAACCCTTACGCAGGATGTGGGAGACATGTTCAAAGGCTCATAACGTAAGTTCAAGGAGGTCTGTGCTGTATTCTAATTTATGCCTGTCACATACAAATTCATATGTGGGGCCTGCAGCTCAGCAGGCTGGGAAGGAAGTTTCCATCCCTGGAGTATACAGTTTAACATAGCCTGGGACCCTGTAAGTGCAAACAGCAGCTGGGCTTTCAGCTTTAATGCATGCCTTGAGCTGGGAAACTACTAAGTGGTAAACAACTTTGACCTCAGTTCCCAGCCCTGTGGGAATGTTGAGAGTGGTGTTGGGCCAGTTCACAGACACCTGATAAACAACTGTAGTATAACTAGTGTAGGGAGTCCTGTGCCTGGTGAGTCTCACCTGGGACCTACACCTTGGAAGGTGCCGTGGATTCCCCCAGCTGGAGCCACATCCACTACGGCCTGGTGCGAGGTGACAGGGAAGGAACTCCCCGCAGACTGAAGGGGAGTAAGCATTTCTAAGTGCCTGTTGATCCCTTGTGCATTGCTCTGCCTATGCTTATTGATGTGCCACTTTGCAGTAGCTGTGTAGCCATCTGGCAGTATTAAGCCTGAAATAGTAGTGACATAGTGAGATTAATAAAAGCAACTATCCCTAATCAACTCTGTCTTGAAGCAAATCCATAATCCTGTTTGGCCATGCTGCTGTGAATTGACAATGCCAAGCCAGCCCCAGTTTTTGCAGGGACATATTCAGTCCCCATCCTCCAAGACCTTGACAAACACAGAGAGGGAGAGAACCTTATAGGGCAATCATAGACCACTAGAACTGGAAGGGACCTTGAGAGGTCATTGAGTCCAGTCCCCTGTCCTCAGAGCAGGACCAAGCACTGTCTAAATCAGGGTTTCCCAACCTATGGGTCGGGACCCAAATATGGGTCACCATTACATTTCAAAAGGGTCACCAGGTGTCTCCCCAGGTGGCTCTTAAGGAGCCATTCACACATTTTTTGAATTGCCCTGGGTCACCAAGTCTTCCTGAATTGTCAAAATGGGTCCTCAGCTGGAAAAGGTTGGGAACCGCTGTTCTAGAACATCCCTGACAGGTGTCCGTCTCACCTGCTCTTAAATATCTCCAGTGATGGAGATTCCACAACCTGCCTAGGCAATTTATTCCCGTGTTTCACCACCCTGACAGGGAGGAAGTTTTTCCTAATGTCCAACCTAAACCTCCCTTGCTGCAGTTTAAGCCCATTGCTTCTTGTCCTATCATCGGAGGCCACGGAGAACAATTCCCCCCCTTCTCCCTGTGACGCCCTTTTAGATATCTGAAAACCGCTATCATGTCCCCTCTGTCTTCTCTTTTCCAAACTAAACAAGCCCAATTCCTTCAGTCTTTCCTCATAGCTCATGTTTTTTAGAACTTTAATCATTGTTGTTGCTCTTCTCTGGACCTTCTCCAATTTCTCCATCTCTTTCTTGAAATATGGTGCCCAGAACTGGACACAGTACTCCAAGTGAGGCCTAATCAGTGGAGAGTAGAGTGGAAGAATGACTTCTTATGTCCTGCTCACAATATTCTTGTGAATGCAGCCCAGAATCATGTTTGATTTTTTTTGCAACAGTGTCCCATCATTGCCTCATATTTAGCTTGTGGTCCACTCTGACCTCCTAGATGCCTCTCAGCAGTACTCCTTCCTAGGCAGTTGCTTCCCATTTGTTCCCCCGGATGCATTGCTCCGCTTGCCACAGGAGAGCACGGGGGTGATCTTGTTCTCCCCTGAGAAACATGGCTGGAAGAGCAGAGCACAATATGTTTGGGCCACTGCCGTCGAGTATACAGGGTATAATCCCTGCTGCGGATGCCAGTCCCCACTGCCTCTGCTGTACCCCCACTGGCTGCTGGCTTGTTCCTCATGCCAATGGCATTTCGGGGCATGTGCCCCCTCATGTCCCTCCCACATGTCAGCCCTGCTTCCTTCCTGATGTTCCCCAGAATTCCATGTTGCCTTCCTTCCTAGACCCTGCTCCCAGTGTGTCTCTACCTAGAACAAGTATTAGTAGAAATGCCTAAATCAGGGGTTGTCCAAATAGCCCCTGATAGGCTCCAGCTGTGCTAATGTAAAATTCTCCATTGTTTTATGTAGGAGCACAAGTATTGTTTCTTCACACCACCTGTCTCCACTGTGTGGTACAGAGGAGATAGTGGCAAATAAATCCTCTAGTAAGGGTCACGGTAGCCTCTGGCAGAGAGAGAATGAGCCATGGGGATGCCGAATGGTGAGATCAAAGCTGGCTTGAGCGAAACAACTGACTTCATAGAGATGTGATGGCTGGGCCATTCTGCACATATCCCCATGTTATTTTGTGTGACGCAAATTGGGTCCAAGGGGAAGTCAAATAAGGCCAGCTGAAAAATAATCACAGTGCCTTTTCCTTGAATGTCATTATCAGCCCTTGAAGCCAAGTTAGAGTCCAGCAGAGGAAGCTGTGATCCGAACAGGTTCCACTGTAGTGGATGGAAAGTTTTTAAATTAAATTGTATTTAAGAGCAGACAGGAAAAGTGGCCCAAATGTTTATGGTAATAGGAGAAATAAACTTGTAACTCTGTGTTGACATTACATAATAACTTTCCCTCTCCCTGGTCAATTAATGTAACAAGTCTTTTTTTTTCTCTTTCTTGCTCTGTAACAGTGGGTCGCTTAAATAATTAAACCTACACATTTTGATGTAAAACCTGTAGACTTTCTCCTTCTATAAAACAAATTACTCTGCTAGGGCTTGGTTGGTGGGTCTCTTAAGTCACTCTGGGGGAATCTGGGGATAGTGTTTTAAAGTTTTCCTCTTGTAAAGTTTCTCATAGCATGGGAAGACTTTCATTGATTTGAATTTTTATAGTCAGTCCCTTCTGGTGCATTTTTTTTGTCTACTGCTTTGCACAAGAAGTTTCTCTTTTCCAACAGCAATGTGCCACTAGCCAAGTGCATTATGGGTTTTTTCTGCCTTCCTTTGAGACATGACTTATTGACAAGAATTGTTGGAGGCAGGAGATCCAGTTGAGTGAATTCTTAGTACAGCAGGAGCAAAAGTACTGATGTAGATAAGCCACTGACTGGATCTGTTCTGAGAAGAGGCAAGTATACTACTTGGACTAGTATACTTGGGACTACCTCTAACCAAGATTAAAGGGGTAAACTGTAAAGCTGCTATCTAACACTGACCCAGGCAAGGGTTCTTTGGGGGCAAATGTTAGGTTTGAATGGTCTTTGAGCCGTGATTGCATTTTGTTTTAAATGATGCCCCCTCCTTTTCTCCCTACATATCCCAAATGCAAACCTGCATTGGCCCTTGAAGTGCTTGAACTTTAAGATGCAAAGTCCATGGCTCAGAGGACTCTCTCGAACCACGGATAGTGTCTGGAAGATGATCCGATACACAAGCTGATTGAAAAACACTACAGTATTGGTCCCAAACCTCCAGCTTAAAACAACAATGTGGCTTCCTGTTGGATTATTCCTATAGAATATTTTGGCATGTTCTTTGGAGGAACTTTGCTGGCTTTTTTGTACCGAGATCCTAATTTTCAGAGCTCCTGCTCTCGTAGAAGTCAATAATCAAATTCTTCTTGACTCCTGTGGGTGCAGGACTGGGTTTGGATGGGTTTGGACCAACTAGGTACCACAGGAGGATTGAACAGCCTGGGAACTAGGACTAGGGGAGGAGACACCCACTCATGTTCTGGGGCCTGAAACCATGCACAGTGGTGGCTCGGCTTTTCATCCTGCCCTTCCTGCTATTTGAAATATTCTGCTAATCCTCACTGATGATGGTTGCTACCTTCTGAGTCGGGGGGTGGGGGTGGAGGGGTAATGTCCATGGGACTTCATTAATTGGTGATTCTGAGATGTCCGTCCCCAAGCACTTGTTTTCCTAATTATCCCCAAATAACTAGCATGTAAGAAGGGACTAAACCAACCCAGCAGTTTAAGAGGGTTGTGAACAACATTGCTACAGGAAAAGAGATTTTAATTGCTAGACATTTTAACTTCGGCCACTGAACCTGTGAATCAGGGAGAAAACCTTTCTTGTTCTAATGTACCACGGTCATCCAAGACTATCTTGGCTCTCAAGGTGTGATAAAAATAAGGTGCACGTTGTTTGCACCTATCATAGAATACTAGGAGTGGAAGGGACCTTGAGAGGTCATCGAGTCCAGTCCCCTGCCCTCATGGCAGGACCCAATACTGTCTAGACCATCGCTGATAGACATTTCTCTAACCTACTCTTAAGTATCTCCAGAGATGGAGATTCCACACACCCCCTAGGCAATTTATTCAAGTGTTTAACCATTCTGACAGGAACTTTTTCCTAATGTTCAACCTAAACCTCCCATGCTGCAGTTTATTACTAGATATTCATTACTAAATCTTTCAATACTGCTTATGGTATATTCAGTCTAAGTTATGGGAGAAGCTGTGTTAGTTAAAGTGTGGTATAGTTTGCCATTATTTGTTCAAGAAGGTTTAGAAATAAAATAAATAAGTTTATTCTTACAGCAAAATTAGTATTAGTATTAGCATCATTAATAATATGCACACTTTTTATTATTTTTGTATTACAAGTATTTGTGATACTCATTGCTGTACTAATCGTCCATTACAAGATATACATATGAAAGGCGACTTTCCCACATACAGAGCAAGGATTCAGTGACCCCAGATTTGAAAGTGAAGGAAACAGTAAAACAGAAATTCCAGAAAGAGAAGTTAGGAGGAAAATCTAAACCAAAAATTCCATTTTGTGTGGTCTCTATGAACGTGGCTGGATTTGAACATGCAGGCCGGCTGACACAGGGATGAGGGAGGGAAAAGGGGAGCAGCTGCCACAAGGCCTGGCAATTCAAAAGGGCCTGGAACTCCCGGAGTCCTAGGTTCTTAACATCTCTGCCAGAGAACTGCACAGTGCGCTCCACTGGCTGTGTGTAGGGGAACATGCATGGGATGCATCCAGATGTCTTCCCTAGCCCCATCCCTTCATCCTGAGGCCTCGTCCATTCCACCCGAGGCCCCATCCCTTCCTGGTGGTGTAGAGCCTCCCTCCCCGCACCTTGCCCATGGACCAAGTGGCAAGTCTGTCAGACCATGTTCACAAGGGTGCTTATGCCTTGGGGAAGTGAATTCCAGAGAGGAATTCCCGCTCCTGTCGGTAAATGTACAGACAAGCCAGCTTCCAATGAGAGCTCTTTTGTCCCTAAGCCAGTCAGGATGGAATACCGAGTCAGCCATCAGACAAAATCATCAAATCATTCAGCATCATACACAGAATGTCCTTTTGATGCGACATCCTCCCAGAATCAGTGTCCCCGCGTTAAAGACGTTTTTGGTCTGCCGTGTCATTTAACAAGGAGCCGTAGGAGACCATGCTACAACCTTCTGTTCCATTGATGACTTCTCTTCTGTAGATATGTTGTCATTATATAAATGCACGAATTAACATGTGGTGTATGAAGCATCATGCTGTCATGATTGCTTTTCATTACACCTTCTTGTGTGTTTGTGTGATGGATACAGAGTTTCCCCTCCCCCCACGTCCCCCACAGCTTGAGACCAAATACTTTATTTTTCCATAAGAGAATATGGGTATTTATAACGGGAACAAAGTTTACATATTCTCAATGTTTGTTTTCTTAACGTACCATAATCATTCTGACGGCATAATTCATATCCATTAGATCTGGTTAAATATCGGAAATGGAATATTTCTGCTCTTTGGCAAATTGCACTGATATTAATCACATTATATATTCACTAATTAATATTGCTGATCTGATGCTAAAAAAAGTATTTGTTAAATATAAATTTCTGAGAGTGCTGATAAAATTCATCCATTAATGTATTCTCCATATGCATTCTTACCAGCCCTAAAGGAAATGTCATGATGTCTGACAGACCTGTGAAATCATGTGGATCAAACCTGAGGTTTTTACTCAGATTTCAGCTGAAGTCATCTGTCCACGGAAGCAAATGGAAATTTGCCTGGGGCCAGATGTACAGCAGGAAACCTTTGCTGGTAGAACTGTACAGTTTATATTGGCTAGAGAGTACTTTTCAACTTGTGTATTATAATGCTTTCCTGTGCGAAATAAGCTACTAGTGAAAGTACTAGGAAAAATACTTTTTTTCTTGGTGCACTTTGAACCTTTCTTAACTGGGACTCTCTGGTCCTGCAACATCCCTGGTCCAGCAAATTCTCTCATCTGGGACCAGTCAGGTCCCAGACCAAGGATATCCAACCAGTATAACCACATCTCCTGTAGGCTTTTGGTGGTATACAAATGCTATAAAAATGACACATGTCAGTTTTCTACTACCAGCAAAAGTTTATTGTAGAGAGTAGGCCTCAGTAATATCAGAGTGAAACCTAAGGGCTTTGGGATTTGGCCTGTTGAAATGAATCATGCCAAAGGTCTTTTAGGTCACATAATTTGACTACCATATCGATGAGTGGCATATTTGTTAACTAAATAATAAAGTGTTCTAGTGGACAGTCTAGGATTGTTGCCTACTGTAGTTTAACTTGTATTTTTTGTTTCTGATCGAGTTTTAGGACTCTAAGAATAGTGTCTGGCTCTTTCCTTGGAATAGTTAGATTGCATAAACTAAGCAAAATGAGACTTGTTTGATATATAAATGGGATATTGCATGGAAATCAACCCAAATGTTCCAGAGAATCACTATGGATAGTAATTCCATGCTCCAATAATAATAATATAGCATCAGGGATATATTATCGACCATCTCACCAGGATAGTGATAGTGTCTATGAAATGCTAAGGGAGATTAGAGAGTTTATAAAATAAAAAAATAATTAATAGTGGGGGATTTCAACTATCCTCGTACTGACTGGGCACATATCTCCTCAGGACGAGATGCAGACATAAAATTTCTTGACACCTTAAATGACAGCTGGTTCTGGAACCCACAAGGGGAGGGACAAATCTTGATTTCGCCCTAAGTGGAACACAGGATCTGGTCCAAGGGGTAAATATAACTGGACCACTTGTAAATAGTGACCATAATGTAATAAAATCTAACATCCCTGTGGTGGGAAAAACACCTCAGCAGCCCAACATGGTGGTATGTAATTTCAGAAAGGGAAACTACACAAAAAATGAGGAGGTTAGCTAAACAGAAATTAAAAGGTATAGTGACAAAAGTAAAATCCCTGCAAGCTGCATGGAAACTTTTTGAAGACACCATAATAGATGCCCAACTTAAATGTATACCCCAAATTAAAAAAGAAAACAAATCAAAATTCAGTAAGAAAACCAAAGAAGTGTCACTGTGGCTTAACAACCAAGTAAAAGAAGCAGTGCAAGATAAAAAGGCAGTATTTAAAAAGTGAAAGTTAAATCATAGTGAGGATAATAGAAAGGAGCATAAATGTTGTCAAATTAAGTGTAAAAATATAATAAGAAAAGCCAAAAAGGAGTTTGACGAGCAGCTAGCCAAAAACTCAGAGTAATAGCAAAATGTTTTTTTAAGTACACCAGAAGCAGGAAGCCAGCTAAACAACCAGTGGGGCTCCTGGACTATCGAGATGCCAAAAGAGAATGCACAGATGATAAGGTCATTGCGGAGAAACTAAATTAATTCTTTGCTTCGATCTTTACAGCTGAGTATGTTAGGGAGATTACTAAACCCGAACCATTGTTTTTAGGTGACAAATCTGAGGAATTGTCCCAGTTTGAGGTGTCATTAGAAGAGGGTTTGGAACAAATTGATAAACTTGACAGTAACAAGACCCCGGGACCAGATGACATTCAGCCAAGAGTTCTGAAAGAACTCAAATGTGAAATTGCTGAACTATTAACTGTGGTTTGTAGCCTATCCTTTAAATCAGCTTCCATACCTAATGATTGGAAGATAGCTAATGTGATGCCAATATTTAAAAAGGGCTCTAGAGGTGATCCTAGCAATTACAGACCATTAAGCCTGATGTCAATACCGGGCAAATTAGTTGAAACTGTAGTAAAGAATAAAATTGTCAGATACATGTATGATCATAATTTGGGGAAAAGTCAACATGGTTTCTGTAAAGGGAAATCATGCCTAACTAATCTACTAGAGATTTTTGAAGGGATCAACAGACATGTGGACAAGGAGGGTACAGTGGATATAATATACTTACATTTCCAGAAAGCTTTGGACAAGGTCCCTCAACAGAGGCTCTTAAGTTAAAATAAGTTGTAATGGGTTAAGAGGGAAGGTCCTTTCATGGATTGATAGCTGGTTAAAAGACAGGAAACGAAGGGTAGGAATAAATGGTAAGTTTTCAGAGTGAAGAGAGGTAAATAGTGGGGTCCTCCAAGGGTCCATACCAGGACGAATCCTATTCAACCTATATATAAATGATCTAGAGAAAGGGTGAGGTGAAGTGGCAAAATTTGCAGATGATACCAAACTACTAAAGATAGTTAAGACGAAAGCAAATTGTGAAGAGCTTCAAAAGCTTCTCACAAAACTTGGTGATTGGGCAACAAAATGTCAAATGTAATTTAATGTTGATAAATGTAAAGTAATGCAAATTGGAAAAAAATAATCCAAACTATACATACAGTATGATGGGGACTGTTATACAATCATGACCTGTAGAAAAAATGAATTAAGAAAAGTTATTTACTTGTTCCCATAACATATGAACTAGGGGTCACCAAATGAAATTAACAGGTAGAAGGTTTAAAACTAACAAAAATAAATTTTCCTTCACACAGTGCATAGTCAACCTGTGGAACTCCTTGCCAGAGGAGGTTGTGAAGTCCAGGAGTTTTACTGGGTTCAAGAAAGAATTAAATAAATTCATGCAGGTTAGATCCATTAATGGCTATTAGCCAGGATGGCTAGGAATGGTGTCCGTAACCTCTGTCAGAGGCTGGGTATGGGTGATGGGAGAGGGATTGTCTGAAGATTCACTATTCTGTTCACTCCCTCTGGGGCATATCCCTCTGGGTTAGATGGATATTTGGTCTGACCCAGTGTAGCTGTTCTTATGTCAAGGTGAAAGGGTAAAGCTAACTCGCTAATCAAAACAACTTGCTGTAGCACTTTGGTGTTTCTAGTCAGTGAGACATTGTTCAAGTACTAAGCAGATCTAATGCTGCTCAGCATCGGAGGTCTTGCAGGATCACAACTCAAGGTCATACAAGGTCACTTTCAGCTGAATTGTGAGATATTTTTGTTTGTTAGTAGTCATTTTTTTAAAATTTGCTTTTTTCTTTTAACTACAGCAAGAGCGACTGCAGCTGGACAGGTTGAATAACCAGCTGTCTGATGCCATCCAGCGCTATGGAACTGTACAAAAGGTAATAGGACTCCCACATTTCCTTTCACTTTCTGATTTGTGGATTTGGGAACATAGTGATCAATATCTGTCACAGATGCCTAAGAGCATGGAACAACCAATAGGGTGTTTAGTATAATGAAGCATGGTTATTGCAATCTGTCCTTCCTGTTGTGTGGCCCAGAGTATGGAAATGCCGAGAATCATTTAATGAAATAGCAACATATCAAAGACTTTACTGATCAACTGATTCCACCCATCCATGGCTCAATGTCAGGGACAGCTGTGGAGCTATGATGACATCCCAATATGGTGCATCCTTGGCTAGCACAACAGGTGCTGGATGGCTTGGGTGTCTTCAGGAGATGTGACAGAGAAACACGAAGCTTTCAGTGTTGCTCTGACCGATGCTATTTAAAGGGACATTGTGTGACATGGTTAGGCTGAAACACAGACCTACCTTGACAGCTCTGCCATATTAAAAGGTCTTACCTTAAGGCTTCTGGTGGCCTGTAGCTGAATAGACAATGCTGCTACCGCTCAACCTGTTACATAAAACAAACAGAAGCCAATCCACTCCTTTTCAGTTCCTTCCCCCACCGTATCCCTGAGTGACCTTCTCCATGTGCTTGATTTCAACAGTCATCTCTATGCTGATGACTCATACATCTGTTCCCCCAACCCTGTCTCCCTTTGTGCCTGTTCCATATTTGACAGTGTCGAGTTAAAACACAGAATTTCCCTTCCGCAGGAAATTCCAACTTTTTGGAGGGGGGGGGAGACTACTTTCAAACCAGAACGAAGACTGGAAACATTGGAATTCCTGCAAAAAGAAAGTTCTGGATTTTTTTCCCCCTTTGTTTCAGAAACATTGAAATGTTTCTGATGGGTTATGCTGAAACAGAACAGACAGTCGTTGTCGTCGTCCCCCCTCCCCCCCCCCGGCTCCTTGGACTCTCTGGGGTTTCCAGATCCCTTGCTCTGGGGCATTCCCACAATGCAGACTAACTCAGAGCTGGGTCAGGCTTCTCAGTCTTCTGCGGTCTGCAAGGCAGGGTCACCCTGGATCTACAGACACTGGAAGGGTGGGCTCCACAGCAGATCGCTAGGCAAGGCAGAGTTCCAGTAGCAGGAACTTGTCAAAACTAACCAATTTCCACAAAATGTTCCAGTTTCTACAATCCGGCATTTTCTACAATCCGGCATTTTCCACCAATGCCGGAAAGTATGAGCCAGCCCTACTCCAATGGCATATTCACCTGGATGTTCAAGCCCAGCCTGGCCAAAGTTGAGCTCCTTACTTACCCTTTTTCCATAGTTGTTCCATATGCTCCTTTCTAAAATAGGGGAAGGCAGGATTATGTGCCAGTGAAATATTGGAGGCGTACACTTCAGCCCAAACATTTGAATACAAGACACTTGCTGTGAGGTTCTGATAGGATTTCACTTATTAAAAACACACTAAAGCCAGTCATGTTCCTGATAGATTCCAAAGAGATGCAATCAAGGTAAAAGTCAGGTATCTGACAGACAGACAGAAAGAAATCACAGTCTCTAATAGCTGACCTATCGGTCTTAGGCATGCATAGACCTCCTGTTACCTTCCAGGACACAAGAATTAAATCATAGTCTTACAAAAGGAGATGTTATTAATAAAACAAAGAGATATACTTGGTAAAGCACACTTGATTGCTGGGTGTTAAAGAGCAACTGAAAAAAGAGGACATTAAAACACAGAGAAGTTGTATCGCTGGGATTTAGCTTAAAATATACAGTTTATGGGGAAGGGAAAGCAGATGGGCTTAGCACAGAGAAGTTTAAACAAACAACAAAACAAAGAAAATAACCTGCTGGTGACGAAATCGACATTCTCCTATCTACTCATGATCTGTGCTTCAAGATCCAGTCCGTTTCCATGCCCAGTATTCCTTGTAGGCACGGTAGTTCTGCCTGGTTCAATACATCTTGTTCCCCCAACTCCTGGCTTAAAACTCAGACAAAGAAAAACAGCACGCAGCTGTATCTTCCAATTCTAATTTCAACACCTTTACTGATAGGCTTTCCGGGCTCTCTACCAACACCCCCAGCTACCTAAGTTTAACTCTTTAGTCACCAAATGTGGGCCAACACTCCTTCTAACCATCACAATAGTGTACACATGGTCTTAGTCTTTAAAGTGTCATCAGACTCCTTACTGTTTTTATTGAAGTCCAAGATGTTCTCAAGTGCTTTTCTGGTGTCTGTGTTGATAAACACATTAAATCATTGAGGTTGAAATAATGTATTTTAAAATCCCTATACTTGACATTTGACACAATTGGTTTACTATTTTGCCCAAGGATGGAAATAGACTGGGAAGAATCACTCTCTGTTTCTCCTGCATTAGAGCCATTCTGTTTTGTTTGGGTTGCTAACATTTCAGGGTTTAAAAAGTTCCCAAAGCCTTTAAACTGTGTGTATATAATAGAAATACCACTGAATTATTTCTACTCCTGTCTCTCTTCCTACACGCTTCCTCCTCTGTTTCAACACCTAAGTGCTGGGTCTAAATTAGATGGTGCTATCTTGTTAGATCACAAGTCAAAAATACCTGTGTAATGGGTTTGTTTATTGTTAGATACATGTTCATCAACACACTCCATCTGTGCTGTGCATATGACTTTTTTTTTTAATAAATTCCAAAGTGCTAAAATTAGCTGTTGCATTTTGCGAATGCCTGGTTGCATCAGGAACTGACTGGCAAATTGCTACTTACCCATGTTCTGGCTGTCAGTCCTTACATGCACGTTTTGGTTTTGATAACCTTGTCATTTTTGAAGCCCAAATGACTTAATGCCTGAAAGGTCTACTTCTTCAAGACCGTTTTCCATTGCTAAACTGCAGAGTTATTTTGATTTCTATATTTTTTAAAATGTAACACAAATAGAAAAAAAAAACGTGTGATTTTTTTTTATCATAATGATTGACTAGTGATCCTTCCACTTAACCTCCCCCCCCCCTTTTTTTGACAGAAAATAGCAGAGAAGTCGAAAGCATTGCTTCCTAGAGGACAGAGAAGCAGCAAACAGGTAGGTATGTGGGTATAACGAATGACACATCGATATGATGCTAGTCCATACACAGCTTACTAATGTTGAGTAGCAGCTTATTCCCTGAGTAGCTCCATTGAAATCAATGGGGTTGATCCTCTTTTTAAAATTGCATATCACCATGTCACCCTTGACACACGGCAATGATCATAGAATCCCAAAATAGAGACATGTTGCATTATCTTGTTCAGTCCCTTGCTCCTACAGGACTGTTTCCCACTGCATGCTTTCTACTCTTTCATGCACTCTGAAACATCTCTGGACATGGACTTTCCCTCACTTCCCTGAGGGTAGTTTTTCAGTCTCACTGATTTTACCAATAGGGAATTTTTCTGATACTGTATCTTAGGCCTTGTCTACACTAAATGGAAGATTGCCACTGTCATGATCAATCTTCCAGAGTTTGATTTAGTGAGTCTAGTTGACTATGCTATAACCTACTGGTCTAAACCTCAGGTACAACCACAGGTCACGTTCGACTTAACAGTAGCAGTGGTTGGACCGCTTCTCTAAAAACGCCATTGATTTTTAACAGGGATTGGTGGAATAATTTGAACCTTTGTTCAAAATCGGAACAAACCATTTTTGGAAAGTCCTTCACACCTAGCAGAGTTCAGGCCAACATAGGCCCCCCAACAGATTGCTCCCAGTTGATTTCACTCAAAAAGGACAACAGTGAAATTCTTATCCAGCAAAAATAAAATCACAGGCAAATGATTTGTATAAAAGTTGACATGTTATTGGGACCGACTAGAATTCAAAAGGGCGGAGCTAGCATCATGGGTCCCAGGCAAATCTAGTCATATGACACAGTGAGGATTTTTTTTTTCAATGATGCCTTGTTTTACTGCTGTTAGATGGCTCACAAAATAGCAGCCAGTCACTGGAGTGGACTTGACCAGTCAGTGGAGTTCCCTAGCTTGTGGCTAGATTTCATGCTTGTCCTGATTTGATGTTTGGCTTGTATATAACACAGCTATGACACAAACCAGGGCTGTCGTGGTTCAGAGATAGGATGTCTGCCAGGTGAAGCAGAAGCGATTTTTTTCTCCGGGCTGAGCTGTTAGGGGCTGAGCTAAGCATGTCTCAGCGGGAAGTCCATTTCTTCCTATCTTACACGTTGCAGTTAAAGTTGGGGACTTTTTACTTCAGTGCATGTGAAATGAGGGCTCTAAAAAGATCCCTTTGTGGAACTTCATGTCTGAGAGGCTCCCAGCTTCAAAACGTACGTGGGCACATACATAGATTTGCACGTGCCCAGCTTGGGTGCCTGTCCCAGTGCTTGATGTCTGCGTGCGCACGTTTGTATGTGCAGTTATTTAATAGACATGCTCAGATCAGGTTTGAATGTGTATGTGTGGGTGTGTGCGTTTGCTTCTGTCATCCATCCAGGACAAGGATGGGTAACCTAGGTGAGAAGGGAGGGGCACATGTGAGTGGAACCTCCTTCATCTTCATGGGCCACAAGAGAAGCAAGATGGTCTCCTGGGAGAGGGCAGTTTTGCCAACACCCTTGTGTAGTGAGGATGCGCGGGGTGTGCCAGTTGAATGGTAGCAGCGCTGTGATTGGATGTGGAGGGAGCGCTTGGCTCTCACGCTCAGTGTTGTGTGCGGTCAGCCGCCCGCCATCATGCTGGGGGGAGGGGCACGACAAGGGGGGCCATCGTCCCGAGGCCTGACGATTCAAAGGGGCCCAGGGCTCCCAGACACTGACAGCTGCTTCTGCTCCAGCAGTGGCGGTCGGAGGCTCGTGCCGTTTAAATTGCAGCTGGAGTGCTGCTTCCTGTGCTTCGTGCGCTCCGTGAAGCACTGAGGGCTGTCCCGCCCTTACTGCCCAAGGCCATGCCCCTTCTAGGTGCATGGAACCGTCCCTCCCCAGTCTGTCCAGGGGCCTGCTGAGTCTGTCAGCTCCTCTGGCAATCAGCATACACCTTCTTTACTTAGGGCCTTAGACTCCACCAGAGAGAGATTCAGAATGTTCTGGACCATGGGCAATAGGTGAGGGTAGGGCTGGGGGAGGCAAGCCCCTAACCCCACACCAGCCTGTCTCCTTCAGCTCCCCCATCAGGGGGAGGTGGGTTAGTGTGACCCCCACTTCCGCAGGGAAGGGTGGGGGGTAAAGGGGCATGTGCATCCCAGCCTCCCAGCCTGGATCATGGGAAGGGTGGAGGGTGAATGGCCCGAGTACGGGGAGGGTGGGCAGCATGTGGCTCCAGTGTCTGGACATGGAGCACCAGGGAGGGACGTGGGCGGGTGACTCTAGCCTCCCCGCCTGGAACATGAGGAGGGCGGGCACTGGAAGCAGAAACACTCTGCCCCCCAGAATGCCTGCAGCAGGTGTTCTGCGGTGGAGTGTAGGCAGGGCCAGGCTGGTGTTTTGGAAAGGCAATGCCTTCCCCTGCCTAACATACCCACCACCCATGAGCCAGACTGCATTCCCATTAAAATCAGTGGACGTTTAGACGTTCACTTCAACATCCCATGTGTGTTGCTTTAGTAAGAGCAGTAGGAAAAAAATCTACATGGATGGAATTTGGCAACCTGGCACATGAGCAGTAGTAAAGAAAACGTCTTGTGAGCCATGCGTAGAACCCCGATGGGCCGCACGTGGCCTGTCAGCTACAGGTTGCCTGCCACTCCCCTAGGATCTTTTTGTTTTTTCCTTCTTTAAAATATAAAAAAGAAATTAAATGTATAAAACTTGCTGATGTTAAAGCAATTACTGGTATGGTTGTTTTTTTTTTCCCCACCCACACAGGAGTCAGGAAATTCAAAATGATTGTTCCCACAGCAACTGCAACTTGACTATATTGTGCTTATTTTAAGACATTACAGTTTACACCTCGTCGAGTGATACAAAAGGCAACATATGTGCAGGAGAGCTGATGTATGCTTGTTTTGGGAATTACCGAGTGACTTTCCTGGTGGTTGTGCATGAAAATGCTCCATGACAATGGTGCCATATTGCAGAGGGGGTTTTAAAATTGCATTTCATTGCAATGGATTGGGATTGCAACTGATGGGATCCCAAACAATTGTCGCCTTACACTGGTTGGCAGGCAAGGTGAGAGGGTCAGTAACCTAAATCCTAGTGGATATCCTTTGGGAAATAACTAATTTCCTTTACATTCCCTCTCCAGTGGTAATGCTTTAAAGGATGTAGAGTGAAACTTTAGAACACTTTATTTTATGGTATTTGTCACTATTGATGTTTAGAGTATTCCATTTGGCTTTAGAGTATCCTCCCTAAAATACTGATCACACGCTCTAGACTCCTTTAATAGGCACATACATACACAATCCAATGCCAAGTCCAAAAGCCAGCAATAACTCCATGGAATATGGCTGTACCTCCTTCAACCATGTAGGAAAAGGAGAGTTAAGGAAAGGTATGTTATTCTTCTCGAATAACATCTCCTTCCCCAAACACCCTACTGCAGGGGAGACCGGCAGTGCGCCCTACATCATAACATCACAGAAGCATGGGGCTGGAAGGGGCATGAGGAGGTCATCAAATCCAGGGCCCTGAAGATATACAAGTTCAGGCTCCATTGGATGAAAAAGAGGCATGAGTTCTAAAAGCTGAGGGGCTGTCAAGTACCTTGTCATGCCATCAGCTACACTCAAAAGGACTGGGGGAGAATCCAGTTTCAGAACCTTCACTGATCTTGAATGTGTCAGCATGTCAGTCGATTCTGCATCAGTGCATGCTCTTCCAGGCTCCTCCCTTTGCTCAAGGCTCCCACAGGGTCTTCAATGATTCCTGTTGGTCATGCACTCAGTTGTACTTATTAATCAACTGATAAAGTATCCCCTAAATGGCCTCCACAACCCTGGGTTTAGCAGGCCAATGCTCAAACCACTGAGCTATCCCTCCCCGCAACTATCCCCTCCTCATCCTTGGACACAGCACCAGGGCCAGGTTCGAGGGGAAAAAAAGGCCCTTGGCATATGGGGGAAGGCTTGGGGAGGGGCAGAAAATGTCCCTGGCGACCAGGAGGGCTTGGGTAAGAAAAAAACCCCCTCGTGGCCAGTAGTGTGGGGAGAGAAAAAAACCCTGGTGTCTGGGGGAGGGGACGGGGGGAGATAAAATGCCCTTGGCAGTCAGGGGAGCTGGGTCAGAGAAAATGCCCATGCCAGATGAGACCCCAACCCGGAGTGACACCTCCCAGCCCCGTTCTCTGATTCCTGCACCCCTAACCTCTGCCCTAAGTCCACCTAGACCCCTGCCCTGACTCCTACACCCTCCCACACCACCAGCCCCCTGTCCTGAAGGACCCAAGTAATACTGGGTAAGTCCGTCTGTAAGAAATAAAACGTTTAACTGGAACTTTTTCAGAAATTGACAAGCCTGAAACTCATTTTTGGGTGGTTTTAGGAAATGAAATGACCGTAATACTGAGAGTATAATGCCACCCTCTTCACTTCCTCCCTCCTCTTCAGCGGAAGAGAGTAATTACTGCCATTGAACAGAACAGTTGACCAACAATGTTTTTATTTTCATGTCATATCACTGTTTGAACCCTTCCTTTCTAGAGCCACTAAATTGCGTATCTTTAGGAGAAGACTAATGAATGTCTGTTTACATTTAAAGGGATGATTTTATGCAAATCACACCAATTTCTCTCAGCTTCTGATTCTTTTGTGTGCGCGCACACATGCATTTGCACGCTTGTGCGTGTATGTGTGTTTGTGCGTCTCTTTCATTTCTCTTTGTTGAGGAATACAGCACAATTCCCCGTTTAATCTTCAGCTTTAATGAAAATCATCCATCGGCCTTACACAGAATTTATCATGCTGCTACTCTGGCTGCCATCTAAAAAGACAGGATTTGCCAAACGTGAAGTACTGCAGTGGAAGTCTGATTAAATGTCCATTCGAGTCAACCTATTGACTTCAGTGGGCGTTGGGTTACCCCCTTTTCCCCGTAGCCTTAGAAGAGGAAAAAATAGCAGTGGATATGTTGTGGTTATTGCCCT